CACTCTTATTTTGACTAGAAGTCATTTTGCTGTAATAACCCAGGATTAGTTCATTTTCATTTTCCTCTGAGGTAGGTGGAGGAAGGGGGGTTATAGAAAGTGTTAAGAAGTAGGATTCAAAGCCTTCAGCAGTTCTTAAAGAAGATAAAATGGGGGACATTGACTCTGAGAAGGAATTGCTGAGGAGAGGAGGGCAGAGGGATGGGTCTCTACTCTCTTCAACCTTCATCAAATATTTTTGAACAAAGAGTTTCTTCTGTTAATATCTTAATTTATGCCTGAGTATATAATAAAAGCTGTTATTTTGCTCAAAAGAATTCATGGCCCTAGCCGGTTTGGCTCAGTGGATAGAGCATCAGCCTACAGACTGAAGGGTCCCAGGTTTAATTCCGATCAAGGGCACATACTGGGTTGCGGGCTCAGTCCATCGTGCAGGAGGCAGCCTATCAATGATTCTCTCTCATCATTGATGTTTCTACCTCCCCCTCTTCATTTCTCTCTGAAATCAATATATATATATTCATGCACTAGAAATCTGGGCGCTCTGAAGGCTCTTGCTGATAGAACTAAGGCAGTCATTAACTTCTCTCTGTTCTTCACTTTCCTACCTGCAGAATGGTATCATGATTTTTATATTGCCACCTTTGTAAAGGTGATAAATTTGAAACAGCTTGGAAAACACCAGCTTCCATTTCACCTTGAAAGTCAAATACTAATATTAAATAATGAAAAGAGTCATCTCTTAGGATATACTGTGATTTTTCTGTCAGCTACTGCACTTAACAAGATTAATAAATGTATCTGTCTATCTGCTCAATTAACTTGCAATAAAATAATATAATCATAAGGAAACACACAGGAAAATTGCACAGTTTCCCAGGCAGTCATACACAAAGAGTGAGTGAGGAATAAAGGATCTACAAGTACACACAATGACATTGAGATATCTCACTAACATAAATTTGAACAAAATAAGCCAGATACAAAAGAGCATATGCTGAATGATTCCACTTACATATAATGTTCCCAAACAGGCAAAACTGGTAGAAAACATCTGCAATGTTCAAAACCAGGATAATGGTAACCCTAGGATGGGGGGAGTAGTAACTAGAAGGAGATACAAGTGAGGGCTTCTGATTGCTATTAATGTCCTGTTTATCTATCTGGGTATTAGTTACAAGGATGTGTTCACTGTAAGAATTCATTGAACTATATGCATAATGGTTTGTTTACTTTCTATAGGTGTGTTACACTTTAATTAATAAAAAATATTACATGGCCCTAGCCAGTTTGGCTCAGTGGATAGAGCATCGGCCTGCGGACTGAAGGGTCCCAGGTTCGATTCTGGTCAAGGGCATGTATCTTGGTTGAGGGCACATCCCCAGTAGGAGATGTTCAGGAGGCAGCTGATCAATGTTTCTCTCTCATTGATGTTTCTAACTCTCTATCTCTCTCCCTTCCTCTCTATAAAAAATCAATAAAAATATATTTAAAAATATATATATATGTATTACATGAATGCCTGGCCAGGCATGGCTCAGTGGTTGAGCATCTACCTATAACCCAGGAGGTCTCAGTTTGATTCCCGGCCAAGGCACATACCCGGGTTGCGGGCTCCATCCCCAGTAGGGGGCCCGATTAATGATTCTCATCATTGATCTTTCTATCTCTTTCTCCCTCTCCTGTCCTCTCTGAAATAAAAAATAAGTATATTTTAAAATATTACATGAGCAATTAATATCACTTAAGTTGAGTGGGAAATGTTATTCTGTCCCCTGGAATAAGTAGAAATACTGCTATATCTCTGCTACTCAGAATTGTGATGGAATTCTCAAGGATTGTCCTGTGAGGATTCACCTCATCCCAGAGGCTGGCATAAATCCAAGGTAGCAACAGACAGTTTTAATTACATCCTATTTTCATTCTAAGTACCAAGGTAAAAGGTTTTGATGAAAAATTGTACCAACTATTATTATGCACATTTATATAATAGAAAAGCTCTACCATGTTCTTGGTTGAGGTTTACCATTTCTGTAAGCATTTAAAGCAGCTCCTTACTCTGACTGATTCTCCTACTGTTGAGCTTGGCAAAATGCCATATGAAATTAGAACCAAGGGTATTTATTGAGGACAATGATGAATACTCTGTGAACCATAACTTTTTATGGTCTTATATTCTTTTTCCCATATATTTGTTGCAACAGTTGATGATTTTGTGCAAGTTTCAGAGTCCTTCTTTATAGAAAGCCTCCATTTAACAAGATGCTTAATGCCACCTGTAGAAATGATTTTACTGGAATAATACATGACTATCACATGTCTAAATTAAATTATATGCTTACAAAATAAATTTAATAATAGCTCCCAATCCTGGGTCTGCTATTTATTAGCTATGTGTCTGTGGGCTATTTGTTGAACCTGTTTTAGCCTATGGTCTCACCCCTACAGAATTGTCATGAGATTAAGTGAGATAAACCATGGAATTAATGTAGAGTACTTGATACAGGGTCTATTAAAAACTTATTAAATATTCACTCTTGGTTTTATTAATAGCGTAACAATCACATTATATGGGATTAATAAAAAAATCTCTTATTTAGGGATATTTGATATTAAAAATAACACTTGAAGAAACCAAGATGGTGGCATAGGTAAACACTGGAAATTGCTGCCTCAGACAATCATTTCAAAAATACAACTAAAAGACAAAATGGACGTCATCCAGAACTACAGGAAGGCTGGCTGAGTGGAAATTCTACAACTAGA